AGCCATACGTACTATACATAAAAAGGTAGGTCCGATGGAAATTCATGGGAAGGGGTCCACGTGTCAAATATTACAAATTAATACCCCTTGTCCTTTAAGTTCCATGCTTAAAATCGTCATTTATTATTCACAAACAAAAATATATTTACAACATACAATCTTCCCAATTCACTGGTTCCTTGACAATTAGCACCTCTTCATCTATTTGATCAATTAATATTTTAGGTATGCTAAGATTTTTTCTATTAAATTTAGCAGAACTAACGGAATTGATCGACGTGTTCACATTGCTACGGTCAAACGAGGTTATCATGTGACTCTCCGATTTGTCCCAAAATGTGGATTCGGATGAATACGCGTCGGAAATTTCATTATTATAGTTATATTGTCCTAATTTTAGGCGTTGCATGCGAGTCGTAGCCGGTGATGGTGATTGGATTGGAATATCTTGACTGTGGTCGAAATGATAATTGTAATTGATTACCGGAGCGCCCGCTGACATTTTGCGTTTCTTTTTTGATAATATTAATTTGACTATCGTAAAAAAGATCATCGATACGACTAATATTAATCCTACAATTAGTAGGATCTTATAAGGAGTGCTCGTTGAAAAATTATTTGTAGCGTTCGGTGTCGTAGTTTGTGAAACTTGGGATGTCTCCGATGAATATGCCGTTCCATAATAATAGATCTGATCGGTGGTTACTTTGTCGCCGTTTATGGTGGTGCTTTGAGAGAACGATGATGTTATGGAGACTTGTCTGGTTAACGTTGAAGACGACGACGTGGGTGGTGAGGTCATGATAATTGATTTTGATGCTGGTTTGACTTGAGTTACGGAACTGCAAAACCCGTTATTTTTATTTCCACTATTCTCATTACAAAGGTCCCGCTTGTAAAAAAATACAAACATTTCACATAATATCCAGCGTTAATGATTTTTTTTTTTTTTTAGATGATTTCCCGGGATCTCGTTCTACGAAATTTTTTTAAATTATTTTGTCAAAAGGAGAATAGACGTTATCGTTGTGAATGGATGGGCGGAAGTCGTTTGTTGTGTT